TACACGTTATCACATGAATGCTTCTAGTGTTCTGTGAGGTTTCTCAGGAAGAAGAATGTAAAGCAGTTAATAGTGTTTCAGATACACTGTTGTAGCTGCTCTACCAAGCAGAGATGCAGGGAGCTGTTTGTTTTCTTGGTGACCATACTGTAAGTTATCCACACTTCTGGCTTGTTTGAAACATGTAGGTCCTGTTATTTTGTTGTTATGAATTCAACGAACAGCCCTTCCACTCTAAAAATGCTCTTTGGCATACTTCATGTTTTGTCAAGTCCTTACAAAGAACCTTTTTGGTTATAAAATGTATCTATGGTTATATTTGAAAAGAGGTCTATGCAAGTAGAGCACAGTAACACACCAGTATCATTAAACTAACAGCTTGATTCCAATCTTCTGTCAACTGGTTTTCCCAGCAAGCTTATCTCTGTTCTGTCTCTGCTTCAGAAAATCATCAAAGTAATATAAAAGGAAAGCTAAATGTTCCCCTCTACCCCATTTTGAACTGAACAGGGGGCATGTTCAGTTTGTATTCTCTGCTTATCTGCTCTTTTTCCTTGTTGTGGTATCACAAGAATAATAAGGTATTATAATTATTTAGCATTCCTCATCTGCAATTATCTTTAGGCTTTTTTTCTAGTCTGCTTATCGTTTCATGCTGCATGCCTGATGTGGGGGTTGTACTAGTCACAGGTCTTTTTAATCAGTTGTGAATCTTTTCATACTTTGTGATTGCTGCCCAGCCCAAACTTACCAAACTACTGACACCTAAGTTTGTGAAATTGAAAGTTTGGGTTTTTCTTGATGAGAAGATCCACAGAGGAGTTGACTGTTGCTTGATTTGTATTTTAATCTTCTATCCTTGTTACTTGGCCTTGTTAGCGGCTCTTTGACATCGTTGTGTTCTTTCAGGTTGTTTTGGTTAGTTAAAGCTAGTGATGTGTAGAAAACACAGTTCTGTGTCTGTGACAGCAGCCCTGTTCATCTTACCATTTGCCTGTTTTCACCAAAGTTCTTCCTGTTTATTTCTGTCAGTCTTACATGGAAACCAGATAGATGTGGTGCACTTACACATTGCCATGATGACAAAATGCATATTAAGGAATTACAAGAGAGGCAAGTAGGATGGTTTGTGGCTGCCTTGGAGCAGAAGGGCATATATTGGTAAAGAAGCAGTGGGAAGGAAAAGCAATGTGTTGGTATTTCATCAGAATCCCTATACCAAAATGCAGAGAAGCAGCGTATAACCCTTGCAGAGCACTGGCATTGGACATAAAAGCTCAATCTGTGGTTCACAAACTTTATTTCTGATGGCTGGGAGTATTGGCACAAAAGCATTGCTTTTTACACTTCAGCTGCCTTTCTAAAAACAGTTAAATAATAATTTCAGAACGGGGCAGGAGCAGGGACAGTTCTGTGTTGCCCACTGTTGGTAGTGTACTTCTGGTAAGTACGCAGCAAAATGTGTGCTCAACTTTTTATAATCGCTGTAGGTAAAAAAAGAATTCTCAGCAAATACAGTCCATCTCATCTCTTCATAACAATGCATTTTAAAGGTAATAGCTATTAGAAGAATGGAAATATGTGGTATTCCGGAAGAAGCAGAAAAAGAGATCATCTTTGCAGAGTACCCTTGCATCACTGGTTGGTAGAACTTAAGATGGGTAGCGGTGTGGTTGGATGATAACATTTCTTAATTAAGTGCAGAGATCAGATGCAGAACAGAGTAACCTGAAACAAATTTTTAGTTTGGTTTTGCCCTGTTATTACTGTTCATGCCAGCATAAACCCATTGGTTCAGTCTGGAACAGTTCAGCTATCTGCAGTGTGTTCCCAGTAAATGGTACTTAACAAATGGTATGTCCTACTGGGCTAATTAAATAATTACACATCTTGCTGCCTTTTAAAGGCTACTGAAGGCTGTGAATTCAAGCACTTGAGTTAAATAATGCTAAATCCTGGTGTTGCCTGTTCAGTCTTGATTTGCCTTTCTTACATACGTGTATGCATCATGCTAGTTTTGTGTGATAGTGGTAATTAATTGCAGGCTTGTGTTTTGAGAGGTTAACTACCACAATGCTTAATTTTGAAACCAGATTTTGAAACCAAATTGGTTGTAATGTGGCTGGAGTGCCACAATTAACTTTCTCTCCTGCCTTTGTCCGAACACTGTGGAGATGAGGGCTTGTAACGAAGATGACAACACCTTTTGTTCAGGTGGTATAAGTTGCTTTGTTCATATTAGATCTGTTCAGTCATTAAAGCCATGTTCAACCTAAAGCATTGGAAGCTCTTTGTGCTCTAAAGAAAAGCAGTGTTTACAAAAAACTTTTTTTTTCCCTTCTCTCATAGGAAAATGCATTTAAAAAGTAATAATCTTGAAACTGTCCCAAGCATTTAATTAACTAGAAACCTTAAAATACTAACGATAGGATATGTTTCTGTAGCATACCAACTCATGTAAATGCTATCTGTTCTAGGGAGGTGCATTTGTTGCTTGTTATAGGTGGGGCTGCTGGATCTACCTATTATTAAAGTTGCTTAATAATTCCTACTGTAAAGACCTGTTTTCAGTTGTTTGTAACTTGGATTAATTTTAGCCATGTGGGCAAAATCTTTGCCTGCTGAGTGTTCACATTTTTTGGGGGTAGAGGGAGGAATCGGATAAAAGCATAAAATTAATTTAACACTGTGTTTCTGAAAAGTTCTGCTGAAAAAAAAACCAACCCACAGGGTGAGGGAAAGTTAAGAGTTTAACTTCATATCCGGGCTGGCTCCCGGTTCCTCTGCTGCCCTGTTCGGTTTTGAGGTTTTTAAATACAATGCCATTATGCAAGTCTCCTGTTTGGCTTGTTCTTTCCGTCTTTTGGAGCGAACATTTGTGCTCATGACTGGCAGCAATGAAAACAAACCTCTTTGGTTCCAACACAAGCAGCCACAGTCCAAGGGGCAGCGAGCGCGCTTCCTCGAGGGTGACCTCAGGGGTGACCCGACACTCTCGAGGAATGTCCACGCTGGCTCTGTGCTGAGGGTGCCCTCCCCAGCTGCCGCTAGCCGTGCCAAGTGGGGATGTGTGGTGTGGTGTGACCGGAGCTGCCATTCACTGCAGCTGAGCTGTTCGCTCAGTGAATTTGGAGCTTAAATGACCAGGTTCTGACATCGCACTTTGTAAATGTGTCTTTGCTCTAATGCATTTTTTCCTTTTAGATCGAGTGAGTCAAGCGGGCTGTCTTGCCAGACCAGCAGGTCCCATCTCTGGCTGCAGAACTGTAAGCTGGAATGGTGTCACCTCAGGGACACAGGGGCCAGAGGAGGCTTCCTGCCCTCCTGCTCTTCCCCTGGTCCAGCCACCTGACCCCCAGGCAGAGGCAGCAGCAGCCCAGGTTAGGCACTCCACACCAGGTGAGGCACATGTTTGTCCTTCTGCACCTGCCCTCCCAGCCCTGGACATGCCAAGGTGTTATTTTCTCTCTCGTGCTCAGCTCAGCAGCTCTGGTTGGTGATTGTGCAAGGCTGGAGGTGAGGCTTTTCTTTCTCCCTTCTTCCTCAGGAAAGGAAGCATTTCTGATTCTGCCTTGGAATTGGCCACTTGTAAGAAGCAGTGTTGGGGTGTGTGGGCTCTGTGTGTTCCTTGCAGCTGTGACTGCTTGCTTACTTCAACGAAGTCCTTTGCCTTCACTCTTCTGGAGAAATGGTTTTATTTTTTAAATGTGGCTCAATCTCTCTGCAAAAAAAATATTTTAGAACTACGTATTTGTTTGCTGGATCATCTGTGGATGGCACTTTGGCTTTCAGTGCCACAATCCTGGTGCCACATAACCCAGGGTGTGATGACCTCTTACATCTGACTTAAGTTCTCTCACGCTGTCTTCATTGGACATGACCTTTGAGCTTGCTGCTGATGTCTGGGGCTCCCACAGCCTGCTGGTGTGCCTGGCCTGCCACCTGCGGCGCTGAGCCAGTGGGCAGCGCCTGGGGCGGGAAGGGGATGGAAAACGGGGTGTTTGCCTTGGGGGTGAGGGCAGAGGATGAAAGGCTTCAGCCACGGAGGGGAACCCTCTCCTTCTAACTGGTAGCGCGGTTGATACCACTGTTCTATTCCTTCAGAAGCAACTGCTGTCATTGATTTCGGTGATAGCATGTATACACGTATGTGATGTATGTATGCACGTACATAGCCCTCACCCACCTTACCCGCAGCGTGCTCAGCCCAAGTCCCCCGCGGCCGCCACGCACACCCCCGGCGCCCCGCAGAGGTCCCGGTTCGGCGGTGCCGGTGCGGAGGAGCGCGGGGCTCCGCTGTCCCGCGGGGCGCTCCCGGGTGCCACCGCCGCTGTCACCTGCCGCGCCCGCGCCTGCGCGCTGCCCCGCCCCCGCCAGCCCCGGCGGCGCGGCCGCGGCGCGATGGGAGGAGGAGGAGGCGGCGGCGGCGGCACCGGGCCCTGCTACGCGCGGCACCGCGTGCTCCCGCGGGCGCGGAGGTGAGCGGCAGGGGCGCGGAGGAGATCGGGGATGGGGGCGGTGGGCTGCGCGCGGGTCTCCTCCTGGCCGCGCTGGGGCTCCGCGCTGCCGGTGTGGGGGGGTCTGGGGGGCGCGGTGAGGGAGCGCGGCGGGGTCCCCGTCACCTGCGCGGGTCTTTCTGCACCGTCCCGAGGCGGCGGAGCGCGCTCCTGGGAAACGCGTTCCCGCACCCAGACCGCGGGGTCCGGTGTCCCCCGGCGCCTCGCCAGCCGCCCCTGTCAACGGGCGGGAGCCGCCGCCGCTCCGCTCGCACAGCGGGCGTGTCCGCGGCGGGGAGCCCAGGCTCGGTCTGGTGAGGCCGCCGCTGCCGCCGGGAGCGCGACCCTCACCGCTGCCCCGCAGCCTCCCGCGAAGGGGGCGCGGGCAGCTCACGCCGCGGAACAGCGCGCCCCATGGCGCCCCCTGCGGGCGGGGCGGGGCCCGTCCGCTGGGGCGGGGCGCTTGGCGGGTGCCTGGGATCCGACGGCGGGCGGGATCCTGAGGTGAGACGGCAGCGGTTGTACCTCGGGTCCGGCCGAGCTGCCCGCCGCCGCGGCGGCGCTTGAAGGGTGCTACGAAGTAAGGGTCTCCTCGGGCACCTGGGCGCGCTGCCCGACTTCCGTGAGCACCCTGGCCGCGCGTCCGCTCCGGATTGAGAACAGGACGGTAAGGTGAGGGCTGTGCCCTGGCGACCCCTTTCCTTTCCTGCGGCAGGGAAGGGGAAACGGCTGGCACCCAGCCCACTGACCAAACTCGCACGGTGCCGGGGTGGCCCGGGGTCCTCTGCCCATGTGGCTCTTGTGGTAAGCCTGCCTGGGGTTCCCTTCCCAGCCTGGGAGCTCGTGCCGCATGAGGGATTTTATTGGATGAATTGAGTGGTTAAGCACCGAGTTGCAGCGATAGCGCGAGTTGTGTGTTCTTTGTAACCCACATGTTTGGGCAAGGTGAGGGAGGTGGTGGTAGCAATTCCTTTAGCTGGAGTTTACCTTTTCTGTATGGCTGCTGTTCAGACCCAGGTATCCAAATGCTGTGGTCGGGCTTTAGTGTCAAAATCGGCGTTGTTCTCATGAGAATTTGGAGGGTGCCTGGTGCAGAAACGTGGGCAGCAGGGAACATAAGGTGTGAGTGAAAGGCAGTAATATCTTGCAGTATGAATTATGAAATGCCCTTCAGCACAACGCATTGCGCGTTTCACCTGCTCATTTGGGTATGCAAATATAATGTATGTCCGTCTGGGTGGCAACAACCATTTTTGCAAGAAACAAATTATTTTAGAGTGTTCGTCGTCTTACCAGGGGAGAAAGTTGTCCCCACCCTCAAACTTTGAAATGCATTTCCAAGTATGATTAGGTTGGCTAAGACAATGAATGAGACAAAGAAATAAGGTATTTCTTTCATGCCAAATATGGACGCAATTAAAACGTGCAGTGAAGATGTTACTTTATGGCTCTTGCACTTCTTTGGCTGTTTTGGATGATAAACATGCAATAGTGAAGTGCAATTGAGACATCTTAAGCGTTTGTTCTTTTCTTCCTCTTTAATCCTTTGAAAAGTGTGGAGAGGCTCCTTAGGAGTTAAAATTTTCCTTGGCTTTTATTACGCATCCCATTCCCGCCGTGTCTCGTTAATCTATAGTTGGAACGGCTGCATTGCTCCCTACCTCCTCTTGCTGTATTTCCTTCTTTGGAGGCACCTGCTGATATCAGCAAGCGGCCCAGTGCCTGTCCCGGCTGCCAGCTTCTCTCCTCTCCCACCCACGGTAATGGTGGGGGCGCTGGGAACATCTTGGAGCTGCTCCTCCAGCAGGCTGCAGGAGCAGGGAACTTTGACCGGTCTCCTGGTAACTGGAGCCCACCATCCTCTTACAAGCCGGTGATCTCTGTCACCTGCATCGTGCTTACCTGTCCGAAGACAAAGCTGAATGCTCAGCCTTTATGCAGTGCCTTTCCTTTCATGCCTGCCTTCCAAATGCTGATTCTTCCCCTTTCCTGGTTCTGAGTGACAGTTACCTCATCCAAAGCAGTACAGGGCTCGTTGGCTTGAAAACAGTTTTTCCTGTTCTATCTATCTATGTTTCTATCTTTGCATCTTAGGCTGGGATGTTTTCTTCCCCTTGCGTTCTCCACTCCTTTCGCTAGGAGTGTCCCTCATCTAACTCGGAAGCGCTCAGGACTGAGATCAGTCGTTTTCCACTCTTGTGTGTTAGCACTGGGACTCTGATGATTCATCGTCTGGAACGTTGTTCCACTAGGATTTGATCCCATTTTTCTTAAAGCATCTAAATTTGTTGGAAGTTTCAAAATGAGGTTCTTGCACATTGCCCTGGGGGCATGGTCGGTCCTCTGTCTGTCTCTTGTTTTCCTTCTTTCTTGAAATCTGTGGGAACCAAAGTGGGAAAATAATAACTGTTGAATGCTGCTTTGTGATGGTGGAAAACCAGCTAATGCATTTTTCATTTTTAAATAAGTGGTAGGGAGGGAAATCTTTTTTTCCTAGTTGAGTTTCTTTAAATTAATGCAACACTTAATTGCTTTGAGTGGTTAATGTCTTTCCACCACCTTGCACCTGCTTTTTTTATGCCTCTCTGCTTCTATGATCATGAACCTGGGAGGAGAGGCATGAACATAGAGAGCTCTGTAATAGCAGCTGGATATTAATGCTGACTTAAATTGGAAACTCTCTGTCCCAATCCACGTTCTTTGTAGCTCTTCCCCTTCTCATCCTGCCATTAAAATATTTTCCATCATTCCCATGACTTAAACCTCATACAGGTTTTTATGTATGTTTTCTGTTCTTGTGAATAATTTGGTAATGTAGGGTATGATGTTAGAAAATCTGAAGCATGAAAAAGGAATTTGTTGCTACCTATGCAAGCTTTTGAGAAGAAAAGGTAACAGTGGATCATTTTGGTCGGTTTCCATTGACTTCAGTGAAGCTGCGAGTGGCTGAGTCCTTGCAGACCCAGAGAGAATTTGCCCTGAGGCTTGTTTCTGTGACTTGGGTCTGTTTGAGTACACCCCAATGATGGATCTCTGGCAAAAACAGTGAAGGCTTTTCATTACTATTGTACAATGTTAAATTGATCTTGGTTGCTATTAGCTCTGTGAACCCTGCTGAAGAGACAGACAACTAACTAAATCAGTGCCAAATTTCTGATCTGATACTGCTCTTGTGCCAGTGCATTACTTCAGCTTTTTCTGTCGAGCTTTCCTGCAACTGGTTTTTGCTGAGGGGCTGCCGGTCTTTATCAAAATTTGTTGTGTGCCACCTTTGATCTTTATTAGTGAATTCCCTTTCTTTTTTTTTGAGATAACTTACAAATTTCCATACAACTGTGGGATTCTTCATTGATCTGTGTTTGAAACACCTTGATTTGTTTTCTCAGAGACTTAAAAAGTATACCTGTTCTAATAGATTGGTCTTACCAAAATTGTGGGGTTTGCTGAACTCATCCTCTTACTTGAAGGTTTACTGTCAACAACAGCATCTTCATTTAGGAGGTGACAGTATAATAAACATTTCTCAAAACTGTTTTGATTCCTGTTAAGCTGCTTCATGAGGTAATGTAGATCTAAAAGCTCTCCTAAATAGGAAAGCTTTTAGCGTAGGTTACTGTTCTGTCAGCTCCTCTGTCCTTTCTCTCTCTTCCACTTATTGAACTGGCTGTGTTAACCTAGATGCTGAAGTAAGTTACAAGGGGCAGCCTAAACTGTGGTCTTTCTTCTCTTACTGCATTTTAGGAGTTAATGTAACCAGACCAACAATGGTAAAATGCAGATACTGGAAGTTTATTCTCAGTGAACATGGAGAGTTTAGGGACTGCTCACTGGTTTTCTCTTACTGACAGCTGTGTGAAAAATACAAAGGCAAAAAAAGCAGTACATTGGGCTGGATTGTTAAATCATCAATATATTTATCATTCATTATTTTGATGCAGCTTGGATTTAAGCCATGAATTAAACAGATTCAAACAGGGTCTGTTTGATCCAGTTAATCCAGTAGCCTAGTTAATACTTATATTTTCTAACTGTGTGTAATCAGCGTGTGTAAAATTAGGAGTGAAATGATGTTTGGTTTAATAATTTGAGATATATTCTCTTACGGAATTGAAATAAACAGATTAGTAGATGGTTTTGGTATCTACTGTGGGTAATATGAGAGGTAGTCTTATTTTAGTTGAGTTTTTGAAATCTAGGTACCCAAAGCTATCTGAAATCTTAGTATGGCTAAATTTTATATGATTGCTTTGGCAAAGACTTTTGATTCACTGGATTTCCCTTCTCAATTAAACATTTGGTAACTGTTATACCTTCATTTTAGCATCTTTTAGCACAAGGGACAAGATCCAGTCTCTCTGATCTGAGTTTCCCATTGTGCTTTGTTGTAGGTTGCGAAGATGGTACAGTCCCCTCTCCTGTTGCTGATGCTGGCAGACTAGAGTTTGAGAGCGCGTGAAATCTGTTGCTGCTGCACTCACTATTCAATGTTTCAAACCGATCCAAGGAAGTAACACTCTCCTCTTTGGAGAGGCCATAAAATGCATGTTATGAATTGTCTCTCCTTGGTCAATGATAAAGAAAATGGGGCTATTCCAGTCACAACGGGATTAATGAACGAGGATACGACAACAGCACCTCAGCTTTCTCAGCCTGCAGCACCGCTGCCCCCTCCGCCATGTCCCCTCGCAGGGGCACCCGCAGCCCCTCCGCTCCCCCCGGGGATGCCACCACCACCACCACCTCCTCCTCCACTGCCTGGGCCAAATGTACCTCTGCCTCCACAGCTGATAAATGGGCACGACAGCCACGGCAAAAAGAAACGGATGCGGAGTTTTTTCTGGAAAACCATCCCTGAGGAGCAAGTCCGTGGTAAAACCAATATCTGGACGATTGCTGCAAGACCGCAGTATCAGATCGACACAAAGACAATTGAGGAGCTTTTTGGGCAGCAGGAAGAAACCAAGCCCCAGGACCTCCGAAGTCGGTCTTTAAAGTCTTCATTTAAAGAGACTAAAGAGGAGGTAAGAACCAAAGTGTAACCTTTCTTTTACATCATGCTGTGGGAATTGCTGTGAATTCTGACTCACATCTGTCTCCTCTCTGTCGTGTTTCATCCATATGGCAAATGTGTGTTGATTTGAAGGAGCGGGGGAACCTCTTTATTCTTAGTGGCACAGATTTGTTGTTGAAGGAGCTAACAGTGTTTTATTATTTTAACTTGGTAAGTGCTGTGATTTGATCACCTGTTAATATAAATAAGTGGAGGGAGCTGAAGGCATCTGTATTTACTCATGTTGGATAGCTCTTGAGTCTTCAGTGGAAACATAGGTATATTGTAACTTTTCAGCTCTTCCACTGTGTCTGTTGTATGAACAAAATGTTCTACGTGCAAACATGAAGCAGGCAAGAGGGAAGAGAATCATATTGCAAGGGTTAATGCTGTATATACCCATGATGCCCTGGAGGCGTCAAGGAAGGGAAGTACCAGTGTGACAGCTTGGAAATAAAGCGTAATATAGTGGCTAAGAGAATTTATTATTTAATTGAGATAATTTTAAAGTTTCAACTTTTGTAAATGTTGCTTTCCTGCTGATGAAAACTTTGTCATCTACCCTGCTTTTCTGAACACTAAAATAACCTCCCAGGAAGGTCTGAAGGTTGTTCCTGCTTTCTGTTCTGGTGGCAAGGTCTATACCAAGCACCTTCAGGTTCAAGCACTTCCCAGTGAACTGATAAGTAGCTTGTCTGGTTCTTAGATCCTGGTTTATAGACAGCCTCTTTGTTAAGCCTGAATTGAATTGTCTCAAGTGATCATTCTGTGAAGTAATTGGAGGGTTGAAATGTAGATTTAATCACTGGTGTGTCTCTACATACATGTTAGCTTGTAAACAAAATACAGAGGGCACAGGGTTAAGACTTGTAATGATGCATTAGTTTTTACTAAGAAAATAGGAGCTTGAAGTTGGTGGTGTCTTGCAGGACTCTGGAGATGATGTCAAAGTAAGATCAGTAGGGACAAGGTGAGAAACCAATGTACGGATAGTGTGCGTATTGTACATAGACTAAAATAAGGGGTTTAAAACAGGTATGTGTATTGCAGACTCTGAAACGCTGACATCGGGAAGGAGTAATTGGGGCTATCATCAGAGGTAGTCATTAACCTCTGCGCTGTTTTCAGGCTGTGTTCATCTTCAAATCAGGATGGTAGTGAGTGGACTTCCTGTGTAGCATACAGATGTACGCAACTCCAGCCCCATGTGTTTCCTTAGAAGCTCCCCCTTTCAGGACTGTGCTGCAGGCAGATGTATGTACACAACTCCAGCCCTGTGTGTTTCCTTAGAAGTTCTCCCTTTCAGGACTGATGTGTGGTGAAGATCTAGTTACAGTAAAAATGATGATCAGTTCATAAACTGAATGTGGCCCCTAGTACAGCAGCAGAGAAAACAAGCTCCCTCCAGAACTCACACATTTTCATGTGTAGCTTGGAAATCGGCATCCTAAGAGTGATGTTGGGAGATTAAAATTACAGGCCTGCAAAATAAGGGTTTCCCCGGGATTCAGTGCCTTGAAAGCAAAAACCTGCCTAGCTACAAGTTAATGTTTTTGTGTATCTGCCTGGAGCTGATACGGTGGTCCAGTGCATCTCCACTGCCTGATGCTTGTGCACCCTGGCGCAGGGCGCACGCAGTTCCATAGCACACGGCAGCACCGAGTTACGCTACTTCAGTGACAAAATGTGTGACTCCGTTGCTAAGCTGTGCCGAGCATGCCGCAGCAGTGTGTCAGACAGCGGTGAGCCATTTCTAGTGTGAGTTAATGGTCTTTGCAGCACTAGCTGCTTAGCAAGGAGGGAAGGAGATAATCTGCAAGAGCTATGCATTATTGGAAGTGCGGAAGCACAGATAAGCAACAGCTCACATGCTTAACGTTACTACAGGCGTCATTCAGCAGGAGTATGGACATTTGAAGCATAAGCAATGCTTGTGATTTCCGTCATCAGTGCTGTCAGCTGCCGCTCGCTTACTTTAATGTATGATGGTTATCCTCAGCTCACTGTACCTACAGAGGCTGAAAGGAGTTTGAGGCAGGCTGGGGTACACAACATCTGTGTGACCCTGTGGAGAGCGTGTCAGCATGTAGCTGAGGAATCTGCAGTTCTGTTCCTGGCTGTGTCGTTGCCCTGGCTTCCCCCTTGTCCAGGGGAAGCTGGACAAGACACTTTGTGTGTCAGTATCTCTATTCCTTTTGTGTAAAACACAGCTGACTTTAGAAAGTGCTTTGTGGTCTAGTGGTGAAAATTGTTCTTTGGAGTTTAAACAGTGGAATTGGTCTAGTTGGTGTGGTATGTTAACAACAGATTTTCAAGATAAATTCATGGGCATAAATTCAAGTCAGTCACTTAGATCCAAATGTGAAAAAAGCCAGCACATGTCCAGAAGTGTGTGGCTGGCGTGTCTGCTCTTTTGGCTCAGCAAGGCTGCCCTTGGTGCGGTGGCATAGCTTCAGTGGAAGTGGTGAGGAGTGACCCCTTAGCCAGTGCTGAGGGCGCTCCCGCAGAGACTGCGGTAGAGGTAGGGGTTTAGTGATCTCCAGAGATCACTGTTGATTATGAAATCACAAAACTGGCCCCACCGAGCAGTTTTGGGAAAAGCTCTCACTTCATGTAGGAGCTTACAATACTCCATGTCCCTGTGATTTACACAGGGAATTTAGATGCCCAGCTCAGGTTAGTTGCGCTAAACATCATCATTATAACAGAAGTCCCTTTGGAGATGTGAGTCAAGCTCCTACAGCAAATGCTTTCCTTTTTTGTAAACAACTCCTCGCCAAACCCTTAGGAGATTAATTAACATGTTTCCTTGACTGAAGGCTCAGTTTGCCCTATGGTTTCATCTAAGTTGAGCCTCTGAAAAATAAGGGGTATCGAGTTAAGTTTATGCACCAATTTACTTTCCCCATCCTTTAGTGGTGTTACAGTATAGCACAACATGCGCTCACCCAGGTTACACCTGGCCTGCCAGCAGAGTGAGCGCAACAGCTTGTTGCCAGCCAAGGGAGCTGGTCTTTCTTGCTTTCTCGTTTGAACTGCCCCTTTGCTCCTGTCCCTCACCTCCCCCCAGTCTGAGCGCTGGCTCTGGCAGACACTGGACCCTCTGTAAACAGATTCAAGTAGCTCAGCAGAATGCTGTTGGGGTGTTTTGTTTGTTTTCTACTGGTGTAGTTTTCCGGTGTTTCAGTGAGTTTTGATGGCTTGGGAAAGGGTGCAGCAAATTCCAGAGCACTGTGCAAGGAGCTAGTGACAGAGAGAGAGAGGAAGATGGAAGGGGCGAATAGGATGCCTATTCAGCCGTCTCATAGCCATTCCCTCTCTCTTATTTTCCCTGTGCTGGCTCTGATGCTCATTCCATCTTCTTGAGAGCTTATTCAACCTCTTAATCCAGCGAAGGACTAACACAGCAAAAAACCAATGAGATGAGTACCAGTGCCTGCCTAAGGGAAAGAGCAGGCTATGAATGTGACAACAGAGGATGACATGGAGCAGAACGGCCCTGTAGTAAGCTGCTGTGTTCATGCTGCCATGCTGTGGAAGTTCACCTTTCCTCAGCCACTCCAGGCAGTGTGTGTGGCTCTGAGAATAGAGGCCAAAGTGTTAAAGTCTGCAACAAGGATGTGTTGTAAGTGAAATGGATGCTGAAGCAGGAAGGTGTTTATATCCTTCCTAACCTCCAGCCCTGAGCCTGTGCCACCAGGCTGTTCTATGCTTGCTGTAATTTTTAAACTCTATCCCACCATGTGAAACTCCATTGTTCTTACCCAAAGAATACACATAATGTTTTGCTTTCACAAAGCTATCGTCCACTTTGTCGTGTTCTTGTTCCTCATTGACAGTCTCAGGGCAAGAAACTTCTATTGCATTTCTGCAGTCACCACAAAGTCAATATTGATGTGAGGCTTTATGTGTCTCCCAAAACACTCCTTGATCTTTCATGTCGATTGCAAGTTTGTGTCAGAGTTCAGGAGTGCTTTCCTTTTACCATCATAACAACTTCACCATGGTACTCTTGCTGAATTTCCCTGTCCCTTGATACATCTACAGCAGTGAATATTTCAGTGGTGGGTTAACACTGGTGCAACTGATGCCGTTACTACCCCGCATGATCTGTGTCTGCTGCAGATTTCAGAAATAGGCTGAGTTGAATACTGTGGTGATGAGAAGCACATTCAGTGGGACTAGGAAAGTCTGTTCTCAATCTTTAATTACAGTCCAGTGTAACTTTTCAAGTCAAGAAGTCCAAGGGTATTATTGGTGGGCAGCACTTTAAAGATCTCCTTAGGTGGCAAACAGAGATCTGGAACATGCTGTGGGGGCACCAGTGCTGAAAATGTGCCTAAATAGAACACAGGAGCAAGCTGAGCAGAATTTATAAGAAGCTGGGGTAATGTTTAAAGAGTAAAAAGCAACAGCTTGTTAGGAAGTCATGCAGACAGCTTTCTGCAAGGACAAAATCAAATGAAAGCTTGGTGGGGGAGGAAGAGTAGACATTACAAACAGATGTTAAGGCCAAGATTATGAATCTAATATGCAACTGCATGTGAGATGGAATATACTGTATTTTTGTGCATGGAGTTGTAGTTATGGAGTATCTGCCAGGTTCCCCTTTTTTCCTCCTCATGCTCCTACCTGGAAACACCTTGAAGGTGATTGAGTAATGACAGCTTTTTCAAACACTTCTGATAATCTTGAAGTGGACACCAAGCAGAGAGTGACCAAAAACTGAGACATGTGTTTTGATTGTGTGCTTGAACAAGAAATCAGAGGGAAAAATAGAGTACAATCATATACAGAGCAAAAAGTGTGTGTAAGGTCCTTGTACTTAAGAACAGCTATGACATTTTTATGTTGTACTGATAAGGCAGCTGCAGCTGGATCTGTAGCCATCTGTTGTTTTTCTGCAAGGGAAGATGTTAGAAAAATTCTCCACTTTTGTCTGAGGTTGTACTGTAAATCTGAGTTGTGCCATGGAAGCCAAGCTTACCCAACTGATGATCAGTCTTATTGTCACAGTTGCTGTACCTGAAAATAGTATGTACAGAAGGTTGAATATGCTTTAAAAAAAAAACAACAAACCAAAAGCCAACTCGAGATGGCAAAGCTTACAGTGGGGAAATCAGAGAGTTAGGAGTGACCAGAGCAATTGGAGACTGAAGCTGCAGTTTGAGAGGTCAGTGAGAGGTCCCTGCAGTAAAGCTTTTGAAAAAGATTAGATACTGCAGGAGGAGAGAGGGTTGAACCTGTCCTATGTTAAGGGGCTTTTCCTTAATGATCTGTTGGGGGCCTCTCGACTCCTGAGATAACAGAAGAATAAACCACAATCTGTCCTCTTATCTTGGCATATGCTAAAACTGAAGGGCTTCAGGCTCGCAGTCATCTAATTACAACCAGTATGCTGATAGATATATCCTGTGTTTGCCAGTCTTTACTGGTTTCAGAAGAGAGGAAATTCCAAAATTTCAGAAAACTCCTGAATTTGGTTCACTCTTTTCAGTAGCTGAGGAGGCTGTCTCCTGGGTGCATGTTGGGGATGGCGCATTAATCACTGTCACTACTGCTAACTACAGACTAAGTCAATTCTGTGACAGTGCTAACATTGCGTTTATATATGTATTTCTAATTTGTGTACTGTCACAGAGGTCAAGACACCTTTCCAGCTGCCAAAACCTCAAACATAATGAGTCCAACAGCAGTCTTGAACATCTGTGTGTACCAAGTTGTTTTATTGTAGCAGTCGGGTAGCATTGTTAATGTGAAGCAGTTCTCTTGTCCTTGTAAATCTCATGACTTTCGTAGCTGTTATCACCAAAATAGCTGTGGTAAAATTGTAACCTTTAGGATGCGATTCCCTGAAAGAGGGCAAACGTCTCAGGTTTGAGCTTGTGTGCTGTTAAAGGAACAAAAGCTAGTGTAAAAAGTATTAATTTTTTCCAAAATTAATTAGAGGAAAAAAAATTAATGTTGCGGAGGGTTTTTTTGTCTCTTAACCTCCAGAATTGTACACTTAAGGTGGTACAGCAAATCAGCTTTAACATGTAATGTGTGTGGAGACTATTACTATTATGGGTTTCTGTTTGCAAGCAAGTGGATTTGAGCATTATCTGTCTCAGGTTTCGATTCAAGATCAACTTACCTTCCTGTGGATCAGCGTGGCTGTTAGTTTGCATGTATGAAGTCAGTAGTGCATACTGACCTCTGCTTAGAACACCCATCCACATTTGTTACAAACCCTCTGAAATAAGCGGGGCTTGAAGTGTGGTGCTCACTACCCATGTGGCCTTCAAATGCAATAGTGTATTACTTGACAAGCAACATCTTGCAGATGCAGCATTATGAAATAAGCAAGAAGAATGTTTTTACTTTGTAATGAAATAAAACTTATCTTGATTCCTTCCTTCTGTAAATGTTGCTATGGTTTTTGTTCTTCACTTGGAAAAGGCTTTTGTGGGCGTGCTGTGTATTTCCCTGGTAAAAAAATAGTTCTGTAATATATGATTGTTGATAAGAAGTGACTCTGTGTATTCATTTGGCCTGTGATTTGGTGGCAGCTGCAAACAATTATCTGTAACAATTTAAGAAATGATACCTGCTATTTTCTTAGGTACTGGTACATTAATCTCTTGTTTTCTCTCCCAGGTTTCCATTTTGGATGCAAAAAGAAGTATGAACATTGGGATATTTCTCAAACAGTTCAAAAAGTAAGATTTGTTTTTTCTATGCAGCTAGTGCAAGCTATGGATGTATAAAATTATAGTAGTAATTCTCATGTTCTCATTATAGATGTAGTTCTCATGAAATGTATTGTATATTGTGCTCTATTCCTTGTGGAGTTTATAGTTCTGTACAGGTTTGTCATAAGTAAGTTGTCATAATTTGTTTTCTAAGATGTTCAGTTTTGAGTGCCATTATGACTTAGCACCAAACATTTAGAGTTTGCTACTATGGACCAGTTGAAGTGAGTTTTCAGGTATAGTTCAGGGGAATCTTTATATCTCATGTAATACTGTGTGAGAGCTGCTTTTCACTGGCTTCCTTTTTTTTTTATAAAGAATTAATAGAAAGGGGTGAGGTGGGGAATTCCTTTTTAAGAGCTAGCAGTTTCAGTGTTATCTTTATTCACTGATAATGTTGCCCGTCAGTAAAGGCATCACTGAAAGTGGTATTAGAACAGTCCTGCTGTGGACAATGATACATAACCTCATTACAGTTCCTTTGAGTAGTTTTGGCATGGGTTTTTGGTTCTTTTTAACTGTTCACTCTGCAAGTATTAGAAATGTGTATGCTCAATTGTTTTTTCAAGGTCTGCTGAATCCATCATTGAAGATATTTATCATGGAAGAAGTGAGCCCTATGGTTCTGAACTGCTGCATGAATTTCTTAAATTATTACCAGAAGCAGAAGAGGTAAACAATGGTTTTACATGGAACTTGTGTTTTGTAGAGTTCTACTGTCTGGGATTCCCAAAGCCTTACTGAGGCTAGGGGTAGGAAACCACTGAGTGCAAGGGTTTCATCTTCATTTGGTATGTGGTATTGAGGTCACAATCAAGTAGTTTCACTTACTTGTAAGGTGCTTCTTAATGAAAGTAGTGATAAAGGTATTCTTGTTTCTCTGATGTTCCTTACAATGTACTTTTTGTCCCATAAACATTTTAATAAGAGCTGGAACCCTCCTGTGTGCAGATAACTGCTGGGGTGGGCTGGTGGTGTTGTCAGAGAACTCAGAATCAAAGCATATCCTAATGCAAATTAAGTTTCATTTCTTGGCACCTGCCTCATGTTTTCCCATTCCAGTGCCTGCATATTGAGTACTGGTAGTCCTATGCTACTGTCTCTTCTCCCTTCTGGCTTGCTGTCTACTTGTTGATCTGGGATCTGCCCACTCCTGCGCCTGGGTTGTTGGGTTCCAACAGGGAGGAAAGATTGCTCCACTGTGCAGCACCCATAGGATTTGCTAACATGGCTTAGTGTTCCAAACAAGGTGTGTTAGGAGGCACAGAACTACCAGCAGTACCTTCTGCAAAGTCTCCATAGTCACCATATGACCAGCATACAAGTGCTGCTTTCTCCCCTTCCAGCTCCAACCTTCAAGTCCATTCGCATGATTAAAGATGTGAAGCTTCACTGACTGACCTGGGAGCCCTGCTTAATGATGCAAAGTTCCTTGTCTGCTCACATACTTGCACTGACCCATTTGTATGTACTTGAGAGAAATGTATACCACAAACTTGACAAAATTAGCATTAGAATTGCTTGAGTGCTTCACATCAAAGTGATGGTGGAAACCTGGGGAACTGCTAGTTAATGTCCATGTACAGATCAACCTCAACACACACGCTTTAGCACTTCAAGGTCATACTGTCAAAGCACTGTTTCCTCTGTGCAGCTGCAAACCTCACATCCAGTCAACAGCAAAACATGTATCATGTTGCTGCCAAATATATAATCCTAAATCAGGCTGCTTTTGCAGGGAATCTTGTAAAAGCAGTGTTGTGTTATTATATTTGATTAATACACTTTTTGAGGTTAGGGAATATCAACAACCTGAAATGTAATTAATCTAAAAAAAAAAAAGGTGACAGTTCTGGGAGCTCAAAGCTATTCCCCCTTACGTCTTTATTTGGCTTTCAGTACATATTCATCTATTTGAACAGAATTTATCTCCTTCCTCTGAAAGAGTCATACAGAGGAGAACAGTAAAAGGAAGTGGCTCCTAGTTAGCTTTGTGTAAATTCAGCAGATTAGACTAGAAGAAAGGTATTTTTATTTCTTTTCTTCTTTCTGGTTTAGATCTTGGTTGATATTTTACAACAAGTAGAAAATCTTTCCAATAGTGTACTTGTATGTGATAGAAACGGAATTCAGCCAGAATGGGAAGTTGCTGAATTCTGTCAGAATTTTATCTGCAATACTTGGCTAGATGCTTTAGATATCCAGTAGTTTCTGCTAGGAGTGAAAAGGTATATTTATTTCCCATTAGATGATTTGACAACAGCGTCCCTCCTCAAGTGGGGCCAGAGCACTTAAGAAGTGTTTTTTAAGAAGGTACTTGAGAAATTAATAGAAGAAATCTTATGGTGCAGAGGAGCATTAGAAATTAAGGGGCATTAGATGTTAGATTTGTTGGGTGTGCCCAAGAGAAGGCTGGAAAGAGGCTTGTTCCTAGTGTGCAGGTATTTATATGTATTTAATTAGTTCTGTGCTCCAGAGATCTCATTGCTCACTGTCAGGAAAGGGAGAAGACCCCCTTTCTCTTTGTTATTCTCCCCGTAATTGTTTAACTTCTTGGGAGCATTCTCCTCAAGAGCTGGGGTGGAGGGGCAGGACAGGGAGAAAATGCTGAGTGTTAGGTACTGATGCTTCAGCAGGTATGGATAAACATGTCAGTGCCTTCATGTCCTCCATGCTTCAAAGAATAAGTGGGTCCAATAACCCATTTACTGCCATGGCTCCTAAGATTTTAGCTTAGTCAGGTAAAATGTTCATTCTCTTTAGGAGCTTCAGAACTTTTGTTGTTCAACTTTCCCAGTATTTTTTTGGCCCACATGTATGTTCATTGTTCTCCCTTCGTTTTTGTTAGTTTATTGTCTGCCTCCTAGTCTGAATACCTGTCTCCTGGAATAGCAATTCACCATTTGCTACGGGGAAGCCACCAGAACTATACAGTCCCTCTCCACAGTCAAATAATCCAAAATCACTAGAGATGTCAGATGAAGTGGTGTTATTTGTTCTGCTGGTCCCTATTCTGTTTAGTAGTCTCTAATGTCTCTCCAGTGTGGTGGTTGTCTCTGGCAAAGTGTCATCGCATTGGCCTATCCCTGCAGAACATTGTACCTGTCCTAAGCAAGGGTTTCATGGGATTACTTTTAGATACATCCTGTTTTCCTGAAGACCTGCTTTGTTTTTGTAGGGGTTGAGAATTACTCTGAGCAGAGACTTGAGCAGTCAGATGCTAAAAAGGTTAGTTGTTATTCAGTTACCAGGGTGAACGCTTGGTGTAACCATGGGTGGGCTTCTGCAGTGTCTCTTTGTATGCACTTCTTTTCAGCAGCTTGGGTATTTACAGTCACATTTCCCAATGGCATAGTTGTCTTGCAGGTTGGAATGAGAGCCAAGTACCCCCTGCCAGGCATGGGCTCCACCCCAGTGTTTGGAGATACCATCTACTTTCTCTTTTATACAGTACCACAAATCCTTAGGCTGTGAAAGTTAAAGGATGGGAAGAGAGGAATACCATTCCTGGTCGAAGCTTTAGAAAGGGCAACTTGGGCCATCATGTTTCTTCTTTCTTTACTGGCAACCGATTCAGTTTGTCTAGTGTGAATAAACACTGGCTTTATACTCCAGTGTTATCTTATCAAGAAGTGTGACACATAGTCACGTTACCTGAACGTGCCCCGGTCACCAGTTTGACGTATGTGACATATTTTACATAATTTCAGCCTATATTATTTCAGGCTTCTGATGGATGTTCCAGCATCTTTGAGATGGAACAGCTTTTTGACAGCAGAGGCTAAGTCCCAGGCTAACAAATAGATGTAACATCCGTTGTCTTTAAAACTACCTTTTTGCAGTATTGTAATGTGGCCACTTTATATGCAGGAATAGGTCTCATTGCTAGTAATTTTCTAGCTGTGAAAAACCCCAGCAGCTGTTAAAGCTGTTGGGATTTTTGTGTATAACTGGCAAATACTGGCTCTTTGGATGTTTTTGCTGATGTGAATAAGACCATTATTGAAATGCTGGCACTGCTGCGAAGTCTTTTGTCAACTGAAAATGTCTGAGTATTTTTAAATGTTTCATTGGAGAAACTTGACAAGTTCCTGAGGCTGGTAAACCTGGAGCTTGCTGCAGGGTTCCACTGGATGTTTTGTTCAGGGCTGTGGGTGTGGCACCAGCCCAGCCGTGATACAGTGGTTAAAGAAAACAGACCAAGGAAAGGTATAAAAATTCTCCAGCATTAATAAGTAAGATATGATCACTGGTTTAGTGTAAGCCTTGCTGGAAGCCCTGCTCTTTGTGCCTTACTGTGGTTGGCAGTTTTGTAAGAGGAAGAAAAGCCTCTTTGGAATCTCCTCTGCTTCATCCCTTCTGCAGCTCATGTTTTTTTTCCAGGGAGCCTTTGTCTTTAATGAAGCAGTGACCTTCTCTGCTATAGCACTTCTAAAAAGATTCCTAGCTGTTTCTTAATGATACCCTGTTAAATGGCTGACAGCTTCCATTTACTGACATCCTGACCAAAGCAGAGAAGCTTTATTTTGCTTTTATGTGTATATCATTGCACTCTTGAGCAGGCCCGGACTGGTAAAAGTCGAGAGTCCAGTGTTTAATGAGCTAGAATAGCTAGAATTTGTACTTTAAATACGTACAGAATGGAGCATATCACATTGCTAATCAGCGCACCCACACACATGCACGCCCAGGTTATCAACACAATGTTTTAACTTCCTTTATAATGTCTCATGCCTGTCCTTTGCTCATATACTCTGTTCTAAAACCCTAGTCATCTGTCAGCTGCTTTACTGGAATTGTTTCTGTCTGTCACCTCTACCCTTATCAAACCATGTTTTTGTAGTTAACTGCCCCCTCCTTTCCTTAGCCAGCACTGTATGTGGCTGAGCATCTGTCTCAGCTTTCATCTCCTGGTTCCTTCTTTCACCCCTTTGGTAGCTGCAGGTTTTTCTCCTTTCCTTCGAATCATCTGCTGATGGAGGTTTGTCACTGCCCAGGCATGTGCTCCATGGTGCCTCCCCGCCTAATGTTCTAGCTGCTTTCCCACGTGCTGTTGTAGTTGGATTCCACTGTGAAATCTTTGGGGATTTTGGTATTTTTTAACTTTTTCTTTAGTGTGAATTCTCCCAGAATGTTTGCAGTGGTGTAGAAATAGTAGAAAAACCAAACCAAACACCAAAACACTGTGATGTTTATTCCTCTGGATTACCGCACTTGGCTTTACTTACTCATTTATAACATGGGGAATACTTGACTTAACCAGAACGCAGGGAAATACTTAGTTACGAGCATATGTAAAGATGAGTAGTATAGGGATTTATACTCTTCAAAGATCCTGCATAGGAGTGCAACATACCTATTTGATGCCATAAAGTAAAATCCCACTAGTTGTAAGGAAGTGCTACTGGTAGCTCAAAAATAACTGAGAACTGGAGTGACAGGAATGCAGTAGCTTTCCTGTCTGTGAGGAATAGCAAGATACGTGTAATAGGCATATCTACTCCAGTTGTTCACAGACCAAAGATCTTTCCTGTCATAACTGTTTTTAAAATGAAGCAAATTACATATGTGAGAACCTTCTGTATCTAAAATCTGATTTAGTGTGCATGGGCATGCAGGGACAGTGCCAGTGCATATTCCATATACAAATATAATGAAAAATTAAATTAGTAGCTCTGTGCCCAATTTGAGTAATACAGAACTAAGCGTATGATGTAGTTATGCTCTCTTGCGTCTACACACTACACTGCCGTATCTTGGTATGTGGCTGTGTACTGTTGTGGAAAAGGTTTTGTTGTGCTTGAGGAGAGGAGGTCAAGGCCTTCTTGTGGTTTTAAAATAAAGCACAATTTTTAGCTCTTTTGTTCTCAGACTAATTATAAACCTGTCTACTCTATCTGTTAACATGATTAATCATGAACATTGTTGTCAATCCCCATAGTTTCTGTGCAGTTCCTGGCTGCATTTGGTATTTGAATTTGACCCAACTTCTAGGAGCCATCAGAGAATCTCAGTTCTCTTTGGGAAGACCTGGACAGCTTGGCTGCAGAGAGAAGAGGCCAATCCCACCGGCTTTTGATTAGCCTGCCTTGGAATGCGTAGGGGCAGCCACCCAAAATGTGTTTCAGTAATTTCTAGCTTTGAGGTTCAGAAGCAGTTTTAATTTATAGGTAGTGTCAATTAAGTCAAATAATTACTTTTTTCTGCTTCATGGTGAGATATCTGGTATTTTTCAATGATGAAGTCTGTAAGAAAGAGGGAACACAACATAAATTGTTGTCCCAACTTTATATTAGCTGTTCCGCAGACCATTCAGTATTCTAAGGCCAAGTTAACAGAGGATTTAGTCTCCTGTGCCAAAAACATATGACATGTATGAAGAACCAGGCAGTGCTCTGCTGAATTCCAGTACGAAAAGGACCTTATAACTGTCTTGTGTTCTGTTTTCTCCATTTGTGGAATGGGTCACTATCCTTCACCTTGCTTGGGTTTGAGGCTTGTCAGGTGCTACTTCTTTTGGACGCCTAAGGCAAAGACAGTGTGGGTAAGATGGCTGATATGGGCTGGTACAAATGTAACCAGGTGACAGTGACCACATCTTTGTTTTAAGGCTGATTACACTGACTGTCTTTTGGGTTGACTGCTGCCCAAAGCTTTTTGCATTGTGACATTCACACCCCATCCTACTCACCAGAAGGCAGCCCCATCAATGTCTTCTGTTGTGTGTATATAGGAAAGTTCCTCCTCTGGATGAATTCTGACATTTAGTACTCCTTTGTACCACTCTAGTCATTTTTCCTAATACAACAGTATAGAAGAAAGAGGATTTCATCCAGTGTCTGTAAAAGTAACATTCCATATAGATAACATCGATTGCTACTTAGCGTCAAAAGTGTATTTAAGAATAGTACAGGTGGCATGAGTAAGTTAATATTCCTGTGAGTATCTCAGGATCTCTTGTTCTTTTTCGTGCATTTAAATCTTAAAATTGCATCTTCCTGTGGTTTATATGATCTTAATTTTGGTAATTTGGGGTGGCTTTTTTGGTGAGCTGCTTTTCTTTTTTTTTTCTTTTCTTCCTCCCCCCACCCCAAATCTAAATGCCTCTCTCCTGTTCAGGCAAACTTTGATATTTGCAACATACTAAAATGAGGTTGGAAAACTTGCCATTTTTGTTGTTTAGGGTGCAGACCACTGTTTTTTGGAAGCTAGGTTAAAGAGCACCTGCAAAGACAGATAGTAGACATCTCCCCCTGCCCTCTTCATGATGTATGGACAAGTGCTTGGTCTCAGTTTGCTCCTTGCTCGTTTAACATTTTAGAAATATCAGAAATGTCAAGTCTGGTCTTTCCTGTTTTTTGTTGGCAGACGTCTTCAATGACTCTAAATTAGGAGTTTTCTCAGGCCTCAAAAAAATGGGTATGCTGTTTACCTTTAGAAGCAGCTTTTGTCTGAGTGTCATGAGTTAAAAGAGGGCGTGTGTGCATGTTAGGAGAAGGAGTTAGATAGCATGAATAAAGATTGCTCTTTGATTCATAATTCTCTTTCTGGGTCATAAGGTGGGTTGTTGGTTTGGGTGGGTTCTTTTGTTTGCTTGTTTGTTTTTGAAAAGCAAGTTTATTTCTATTGTAGACTTTATTTTTAATGTTGGTTTCTCTTCATGTGCTCTCAACGTGTCTATTTCTTTATAAGGAAAAGAATCCTTTTCTTCTGCTAGTCCAGAATGTATTTTAAATCCCTGGATTAGCATAGCATTTGTTGTTTTCCAGTTATTTTTCTACAAAAATACAAAATCAGTTATTTTTCTACTTTCACAGTAAAAAAGTAATGAATTTAGAGCCTGATACTTTTAAAAACCTGTGGATAGCCTGCTAAATCGTGGCAACCTGATAGCTGTTGATGCTCTGATGTAGTGTGGCTCTTTCCGAGATAGCTTAATATGCTTTCTAAAACTGAAGACTGTAGAAGTGGTTGCAAATGGGCTTTAAGTGTAGCATTACAAAAAGGAAGGATGATAGCTGGTGTGTAAATCAGTGGAAACATACAACTGGTACTGGGTGTGAACTTGTTGGTTGAATGAAGAAATACTGTAGTTGAGAGTGAGTGCTGCTTTTGGACACGGTTGCTGTGTTGGAAGAAGTGGAAGAAATTCCAGTTACACTTAAACATATGTGCATGTATTTTCCAGTCCTTCTGTATAAACAAATAGTAAGTATGTGGGCAGATCAGTGACTTCCAGATCATGCAAATACATGGATTTTGGTGGAGCTGGGAAGAAAGACTGACAAAATTAATGCAGTGATATTTTCTTTGCATGTAAATAGCTTTCTCAAAGTACTGAAAATAAGTAATTTAAATGCAGGGTTGCATTTATCTGTAAAATATTTCGTATGAATGAAAACACAAACTCAAGATCATGAAGTTTGCCCCTTAAGAGAGGTTTAGAGGAAATGGTTGATGCGAGTATCTGGAAAACCCATAACTTAAACCTTAGCTGCATTTTGCCTGCAAGATCTAGGCAGTCTTGTGCTGGAAATGCTGAACACTTTAAGCTATGCCCAAGTGTATATCACAGTTTTGAAGAGTCAAGGATCATTTGTGCAGATCATCACTTAAGCAGCTATTTACTGGACAAACAGCTAGAGAATACCAAATCAACCAGTCAGAAAGAAGAGTTCTTGTGGAGAAACTGAAACAACAGTGTCCTAAACATAGTGATGAGAGCAGTCATTGATTATGAATCAGAATGATGAATCAGAAACCAGAAAACATTGATCAGAATCACCAATCAGAACGATGGCATTGTATTTTTTCCACTGGGATCCGTAGCTAGGTTTCTGGGAGAAGAGTGATGTTACTGTTCTTACTTTTTTGTGATTGAGGTGTGTGCAAATTACAGGTGCTTGGACAGTGAAGCCATCCAGCTGGTTACTAAGGGTACTCTCTAATGCCTCCTTTTAAATTCACTGCTTCTGAAGATGTGTTTCCTTCCAAAGTCAAGTTAATCTTGACCTTTGATAAAATTGTTTTCTAGTGTTTTTTTTCTCTTTTCTAGGTAAAGAAATTAAAAGCCTTTGATGGAGATGTATCAAAACTGTCTCAAGCTGATTCCTTCATGTATTTACTAATCCAGGTGCCAAAGTAAGGGGATAGGTTTATTCTGTTAGCAGTAATTGTTCTCTTTTGGCTGTCAGATCTAAACAGTTCTAAATGTGTTTGTTTGTTTGCTCCAGCTACGCTCTTAGGATTGAAGCCATGGTGCTAGAGAGGGAATTCTCACCCTCCTGTGCTTCTCTACAGGATGACATGAAAATTATAAGACGGGCAACAAAAGGTAATTAAGCATGTTGGGACACGCATAATACTCTTGTTTTTGTTAGCATGTTAATTAGTCTGCATTATGAAGGCTAGAGCTTGAATTTCAGGTACCTTCATTATTAAAAAGCTAACTCCCCTCTGACAGCTGCCATCAGGGTGTGCCTGGCAAATCTTTGCTTCCAGAATCAGAAATCTGGAGACTTTGGACACAATAGCAATGAGTTCATGATCAAGGCCTGCAAGCAGCTTATCCAAACCTGACAGAAGCAAAGGCGTCCATGGCCAAATTAGGATAAATCGTCTTTTGAGTACAGTTTGCTCATTCATGCATTGCTGTGTCTGCAATTGAATGCAGTTGTTACACCCCTCTGCTCAGTCTCTCAGAGATCCATAGAGAAAATCACTGTGTGTCATTTCCAATTCCTCTGTATGCCGTTGCTTTTTGAGGTGGCAGAACTGTTGGGCAGAAATCTTTGTTGTGGAGACCTAATGCTATTCCTTTGTTTTCTGTTTTTATTATCTGTGTTTCTCTACGTTTCTCTCTTGTCTCTAAATCTCATAAGTTTTAAAATGCTGCAGCTGATTATTCGTAAGGTAATCTGGTGTCTTTTTCTCCGCAGGAAAACAGTTCATTCCTGGTTTCAGTTAAACATTAATGCTGGCTTTTTCAAACGCTCTGAGTGCACATTTGTCCTGTTCCTCAAAATGAAATTCCTATTCATGCTGGCAGGTTTTTTGACAGGCTCCTAGAGCACTGTTTAAACTGTTTCTGGTGGTATAAAAAGATACAGTAGTAAAAATATTCCACTGTGATCACTGGTGATTAGGACAGTCCTTTCTAGTGAAAGGAAAGGGTGAAAAGTCTGGTGTGTTTTTCCCACCAGTGGGGACTGAACTGGTCCTTCTGGACTTAGAAAAATGTGCCTTAGCTTAGGCTGACATTTGAGTTTGGCCTTTTATTGGGATCTCTTTCAAATCGTTGTTCTTTGTGTTTTGAGCAACAGACATAGGTGAGGGAATCTGTTATGTATAAAAGCAGCCGCGCCCTGCTGTCCTTCATGTCCTTCACCCAGGACATCTGTGAACTGATGAATTCGTTCCATCCAGAGGAGACACTTTGGTCTCCAGCTCCCGCATCAGGCCAGTCATGCAAATCAGACTGTCTGCGCTTCCCTGTTTTCAGTCCACTTGTATCATGTACTCTTCTCCATTTGGTGTTTCCACTTCAGGGTTTGTTGATAGCCCGAAGTTGTTTAGGAATTATGTCTACTTTTCTATTCCTGTCTCCTGTGTTTCTTTCCTTGTAATTAAGCTGAGAGAATATTTACTTAAATTCTAACGCTGATAATCACTAGGGGTTAGGGTGGTCTAAATCACCTGATGGATTCTCATCTAGCCTGCAAATGGAGGTAGCTCCTAGTGACGCTGAGCAGGCTTTCACTATGCAAAATATTTAGAAGTTGCCCTCTTGGCCTTGTGGAAGCTGGTGTTCCCTTCTGTATTCTTTTTCTTTCTTGCTTCCTCACTTGCAGCTTGTTAGATCAAAGGTTATTTAATCAGTTGTATGTTTTTAGGCTGATAATACTGAAATCCGAAGATACAAGGGCTGTCTGCTTCCAAAATGATAGGTTAATGTATTCTGCTGCTGAACAGTCAAATGCAGGATAGGTTATAGAATGTGAATTTTGAAGCAAAATAGCTTTTAAAAGTGCTTACACTGCAATCAAAAGGATTTCACCTTTTATCATTAGTGTAAACTATAGTACCTTACATTAAAACCAGCTCATGTTATTTTTCTTGCTCTATGAGCACTTGCAGATTTGGAATTACTTGGTTTGCTGTGCCACCTGTGTAATGCCAATTCATTAACTCTTTACAGTTCTGAATTTCTGTATCTTATTCCTAAGGCAATCCATTTGGTGACTTTTAAGCACATGTATTGGTTTGTGTTCATATGTGGCTGAGTGGAAAGGTGTACGAATTCAGATAGAGCACTACTGTGCATTTTGGAAAAAAATGGAAATGTGTACAAAACGGGCTTCTGTGATGGAAAAGCTTTCAAAGGTAGCTTTGTTCCATTAGACTGTTAGCATCACACTGAATGCAACTGCGCTAAATCATCTGTGACACGACTGAGGTGAAATAAATGCTGCTGTGAGTTGGTGAGCGTACATAAATAAAATTATGATTCATAGTTGGAGTGGCATAAGCAAGGAAAATTTAAACATTGCCTGTTATCTTTTCAGGCTTGATGGCTAAGCCTCCCCAAAAGAGAATAATTGCTGAAAAGCCCAGTCCCGGCAGATGGCAAATGGATCCTGCAGGGTGCAGAGCACTTGCCTCACACTGCAATTAGTAGGTGGTGAGGACACTTAACCACTTGCATAAGGCACGTTGCACATTGCAGCGTTAGGCCCAAAATGTTTGTTAGCGGTTGTCTGCTACAGTTAGGGGGTTGCCTTGGAAATACTACACTTGCTAAGCTAAAGTCTGAACCTGTACTTGAGGTTTATCAACTGTGCCTGGGAATTTGAATTTTATAGTACCATTTTTTTCCCCATGACCTTTTCCATTTGTTGTAGTTTCCTGTTAAAATGAAAGTTTTCACCTTTAAGCGCTTAAGATGAATAGGTGTTTGGTAACTGGCTGTATATATTTCTAAACAAACAATTGTTAGACAGTAACGTTCTTGTTCCTTACAGAGTTAATGACTTGTGAGGAACTGCATTCCATATTGCACTTGGTCCTTCAGGCTGGGAATATTATGAATGCGGTAAGTGACGTCCAAAATGGACATAGCTGGTTGACCAAACTTCCTTGTTAGTACTGCAGTCCATTGATGTCACACCTCAGCTGTTTGCTCTTTTCTTTTTAGGGAGGTTATGCTGGCAACGCTGTTGGATTTAAACTCTCGTCACTGCTCAAGCTGGCGGACACAAAAGCAAACAAACCTGGGATGAGTCTGCTGCATTTTGTTGCTCTGGTATAGAAAAGCTATTTTGTTGGTATAAGCATCTGCTACAATTGTAGAGCCATAGCTAATAGACAATAGAAGGGGCCGTGTGCCTCAGAAAAAGCAACTTTTTTACAGCTTTGATCTGAATCTTCCCCTTTCTTCTCCTGCCACGAAATTCACCAGTTCACCTATGTCTGGTCATCTTACCCAGGAGCACATAGAAAACTTAAGCTTTTTATATGATGTAAAAACTTGCCTTCATCTAACTTCCTCATTGTAGTTTTTATTGTCCTGAATTCTGAAACCATGGAAGTGGCTTATTTTGGTGAATACTCATTCAGGAATCCTTTTGAGTCTTTTGAGCAACATTACTGGTAGAGGGTTGTTCTTCCTCTCTCTTGGTGACTGACGTTTTTCTTTTTAAAGCTGTTGCAGGCACGTTTCAAGTTATTTTTCCTTCCTTTCAAACTTTCAGAATTTCATCATTCTAAAGGAAAATTTAAACAAGGGGATTTCAGAAGGGAGAGAATTTAAATGCCTCTATCTGTGACTTGGTTATCTGTGTACAAACTGGCTTAACAGATTTCCAGTCCGCTAACAATAGGGTTTTAATTGATGTTTGTGCAGGAAACATAGTATTGGCTGAAACAATGGACATCAGTAAATTGTTCTTTCCCTAACATTCCCTATTAATACATGGCTTGTATTCACTGGCAGAAGCAGCTGTTATTGTACACTGGAAGTGGAAGCTGTTGTTTGAAGTTTCCAGTTCTGATCCTTCCCTATTGTTAAGTGATGTCCTCTGCTCAATTGTGTTAGGGTTGGATGGGAAGAAAAACAGTGCAGGAGAGAAACCTTTAAGTGCACTTCCAGAGGCTTTAGAATTGCTGGGCTTAGGGACTTTGGCATGGTGGTGGAATGTTAATGGATTGTGTGTGTTTTGGTTTTGTTTTGTTTGTTTCAGGAAGCCCAAAAGAAAGATGCTGCTCTTCTTAGCTTCTCAGAAAAAATTAGGGATGTTCATGATGCCGCCAGGTAAGTCAAAAGAAAACTGAGAACGTCTGGTACAACTGACTTATTTGTGTTCTTCTTTCTGAAGCAGTGAGGCTTATTCAGAGAAATAATCTTGGCACAAAACCTGAGATCTTTACAGATGTTTACTATAGCTTTGAGGGCTTCATTTCCATTTGCTAGCAGAAGTATGCCTGCAATGTGCCTTCAGGTATGAGGGATTTTATGACATGATCTCCATGGTTTATTGGTAGTTTTGTCTCTGTCAAGTACATGTACATATGTGTTATTTTGAAGGGATTGAAATAAAAGCATGTTACTGTTTTCCCTTACACTAATTTTCATGTGTCTCTGAGCAGGCTACAGTACTTTTCCAGATTTGGTACCAGGTACAGGTACTGGCCCTGGCTTCTGTTAGAACTGGAACCTAGCAGTGCTGAAGTTCCATTCCCATTTTTGCTACTTCCTTAACTCTTGCGCTTTGGGCAGTCTATTTACATTCTTCTCCCTGCTGTTAAATGGATCCAGTATCTTAGATCTAATGCAGGGCTAAGTAATGTCTGCAGAGGAGACTGAAATCTTCTGAGGGAAGGAGTGGTCATGGAGTTAATCAGAAGACTTTTGAGGGACCACCTGTGTGGCTCTCTGCCATCCAACCCACACACCTTTCTGGCAGTCTGCCTTGTGGCCTTCTGGGGAATGTGGCTTCCCTCAGCATGCAAGCCCCCTGGCAAACAGCAGGGGAGCAGGCAGAATCCCAAACCTGGCCATATTTTTGCTAGCCGCTTTGTTCTTTGATCACATTCGCTAACGCTGAACAACTTGTGTTGTAAATCATGTTGAAATCTGTTCAGGGAATGCACTCTGTACAGGAAAATGAAACAAAATTAAATGCTTGTCTCACCATTGGGCATGAGGAAGATCTTTATTAGAGACAACTGTCGTATACAAGTTGCTCATAAATCCTTCCAATTAGATCATGTTAAAATAACCACCATTATGTTCTTTATTTTCTTATTGTCTTGCCTTCTTTACTTGTGGGCCATCCTCTTTCTCCTTCACAGGCAGAAAAACATAGCCTGTATCTTCTACTGCTTTTCTTATTTGCAAAAACACCCATGACCTGTCCTGAACAGGGAACTAACCTTTGCAGATGAAGTAATCAGAGAAGAAAACAGCACACATTATATTCATCTGTGTGTGCACTGACCAACTTATGCATGCTGTCACCATGCTCTGCTTTGTTAGTCTGCCACTTATTACTCAGCTTTACCGTTTTAAGTCATGCTGCTGGTAAAATGACCTTAGTTAGGAGCATGTTTTTAGTTTTTATCATTTTGGAAGTTGTAGTTCTTCAACTCCTAGGCAAAGCTCATTTCTCTTGTGAAGGAAGTACCATAGATTTAGAAGCGTTTAACCCTCAGACTGAGAGATTTGGGTGGGAGCTCCTGTTGTATGGCATGTGGATCTCACAGGATAAAACTTAGATTACATCAGATCAGAGCTCTTTCCTGTGGTCTTCGATTTCTAAGTTAACTAACTCTCCCCAGGAGCAGCTCTGCTGCTGGTATGTGGTACAAGGATGAATGTTGCAGCTGCTGGGTTGAGACTGTGTAGGCTGCTTAGAAGAACATAACATGCAATTTCATGATGCCAAACGCTGCTGCCAAAATGGGTAGTCCTGGCTGGCAGTCCCTTGTAACCCCTTTTTTTATGCCAGCTCCTGCACTTGGAACAGTCATGTAATCAGCTGGACCAAGCAAATGATCCACCTGGGAGCAAATTGTTTTTTTCCCCTTCCTGGGTTAATTTTCAGTATACAGATATGGCTGGCTATCTAGAAATGAGTGCTAACAGAAGCACCAGGGAGAGAAAAGAAACCACCTGGTCAGAGGCAGGGCGGCATTCCCCTTTCTCATGGTAAAGAGGTAGGACTGGCTGGACTTAATGGAGAAACCACACCCCATGGGAATCTTTTCCGGTTGCAAATAAGAAGAAATCTGCTTATCTCTCTCTTAATTCTCAGTGTCTACTCTGGAAAGATTTCCTGAACCAGCAGGTCTTGTTTGATAGTCAGGTTGCACCTCATGTTAAACATCCATTTTTTGAAGCACATTGTGGATAACCTGTAGGAAGCTTCTTCCCCCTTGATAAACATTCTCTGTATGTGCTATTTTTAGGTTATCCGTTGATAATATAGAAGCAGAGCTCCACTCGCTGTCTTTCAAGGCAAGATCTGTTAAAGACAGCATTCGGCGAGACCCAAAACTCTTTCACCAGATGGAAAGCTTTCTCCAGGTTTGTGGGATATCTGTGTTAATGTCTTACATTGTTGCCTGAATACAGGAGTATTCCTCAGCTGAATGTAATTTGTGTGGACATGTTAATAAACATGTGGGCATAGTAATAAACAGAAGCGTTGTTTTAATATGTCTACCCTGTCAGTTGTACAAAGGTGTTCCAGCTCCATGCTGTTTGTCAACTAAGTGTTGGAAGGGCTATGTTTTTACAGGGAGGGATATTGAGTGTACATCGCCCAAGGCTTGTTAGGCAAGTGTGTTTAATGCCTGTGAAATGACTGGTGAACATCAGTGGTTAAAATAGAAGACACTTTGGATTGGTCACTGGTTTTGTACTTCACAGCTGCCCAAAACATAGTGTCTGCCTGTTGTGTTATACTGGAGCATGCTGGTTTTAGCTGAGGCTGTGCTATGCATAAGAATCCTGGGGTTGGGTGACTGAAGAAATACTGTTAGAAGCTGGAAGGTTAAGAGGCTGTTTTCTGTACGTACTTACCCTTAGCACAGAGTGTAGTATTCTGAGCCATATCATTAGCTCTGGGTGGGTTCTCATTTTCCTTTTTAGTACTGCAGTTGCTTTATAGACATGAATGTGTATAGCACTTAACTTTGAAGCAGAGTTCTTGGTATTTTCCGAGTATGTGGCGATGCCTGAAGAAATACATATTATACTTCAGTTAAATGATTTTTCTGTTTCACACTGTAGATGATTGTTAACAGTAAGAAAGCAGGTGTTGATCTGGAATTTAACCCGCCCTGATTTTCAACTTACAAATGTAGTTAATAGCCCCTGCAGTTTTTCAGGAGATGAGAAGTTGATGAAGAAAGGGGCAGGTTAAGATTGAAATACCTGTCCTCACGCACTCCAAATTGTTGGCTTTCATCCATTGCACCCAGACTCTTTAATGTTATGTTCTAACATGTTTGGGATTTTTTTTAATTCGATAGCTGGTTTTATGTAACACTACAACCTTGTTCAGGCCACATTCCAAAAGAAGCGTTGGGGAAAAAATCATTTTACAAATGCATACCTTACATAAACACTTCCGGTTTTTGCTTCTAAATTACAGGTGATAACCAGGCTGATTTAAAAGTCAGCTTTCATTATCTCAACCCTGTGAATAAATTACTAAAATAAGTGGGAGGAACTAATTTTCTATGGATGCTTTTATCAATTGTCCAGTTTATCTTCAATCCATCTTTTTATTGGGCATTTCTTTTTAAGACTAACAAGATTTGTTCCTATTCTCCTGCCATCATTTGCCAAGTAACTTAAGCAGGGTTGGCTTAAATGGTCACCAGTGCCTCCAGCTGCAGATTCCCACCCTGGTGCTGCAGTGACAGAAGTATTTAGGTGATCATGAGTTAGACGTTGTCAGAGGACAGATTAACTTTTTTCCCTGGGTTACTTTGAGCTACAGGCGGTCTAACCTCTGGGATTGTGTGGGACTGAATGGCTGGTGGTGCAGATAGGGGAGACAGAGGGGCAGCTGCTCAAAGTGCTTTAAGCAGTTCTGCTGCTCGAAGTCTAACCACAGCCTTGTTCTCTTCCTCCTGAATCTTTTTCTACTGATCTACTCTAACCATGACTGTATAGCTCTACATTTATGATTCAAAATGTTACCTTACGAGACGTTTTCTGGATGTCTTAAAATACACATATTTCCATCTGACTGTCCTGAAATGACACATTACCTTTTGTTAGTAGGAGTTATCCTTCAAAGTGTTAATTTCTTGGGCTCTCTAACAGATCCTAGGTTGGAACATGACTTTTATAAGTTCCTAATGTATACATGGCCTGTTGTGACTTTTTCTGACTGGTTCGTGTCACGTATGTTGTTTTGTTGTTTGGTTTTTTTTGCTACAGTTTGCTGTAAGACATCTAAAGGAGCTTGAACACCAGAAACAAGAATTACAAAAGGAGGGAAATGCTCTTATTGACTTTTTCTGTGAAGACAAAGAAACTATGAAGTTGGATGAATGTTTCCAGATATTCAGGGATTTCTGCATAAGATTCAACAAGGCTGTTAAGGTAAGAGCACTGAATGAGATTCTCACACATTGCTTGCATGAATTAAGTTGTTTTTCTGCTTAAAGGGACATTTTATATCTTGTAATATTTGACATATTTGCTTGAATGGCTACAGCAAACTGCCCTCTTGTAGGCATTTCTTGCCATAAACCAGGTGGGAAATGGTCATAGTGCCCAGCACTCTGTGCAGCCCCCTGCTCTGCATCTTCTGCTGCAGGCAGCTAGACCACTGATACTTCAGGGTAGTCTATTGGCTGGCTTGTAATTGGGCTCCTTCCTCTTCTGGTGAGGAGCCTGGTGATTGCTTAGCTGTGCACAGACTTCCTGACTAGTGCTCGCTGTTCAGCCCATGGACTTGTAGTGTTAGATCACTGGAAAGACCTTAAGATGTGGCACCCCATTACATGGGCATACCAGCCTGAATCAGCACTAGCTCAAGCTCTCCCCCACCCTCCCTTACATGACTAGATACACTTGGCCAAGTAAAGTCAGGACTGTGCATTCTACTTTGTTCTTTCAAATACTTACTGCAGGTGAAAATTCAAGAAATTAAACAGGCATACAGAAGCAAGATACCTCATCCGCGCTGTCACCATTCATTTGCAAAGTACCCTGAATTGGTCCCAGATATTGCAAAATATATTAAGATGAAGGAGCAGTATTGGCATTGGCAGCAGTTTTGGCTCAGCAAAGTCTGCCTGTTGTTACAGATATTTTTTTAGTCCTTTATAAACAGCATGAATTAGATGGATCCACATGTCGTTATTTTTCTTCCTTACGCAATCTGCATTCGACAGCACTTTGTATAAGAGCTTTAGTTCAGAAAAGAGAGAACAGTCCTGATTTATAGCAAGCTGACAGGATGTTCAGCTAGCATGCTTGTTGTACCATTAGCTTGCCTAACCTCTACCGCCCAAGACAGCACATAGTTGCGCATCTGTGTGAACATTATACAAACATATAAAACCAAATAGTGATAACTATTGCAGGCATTTTAATGAGAGATGACTTTGTGCATATATGTTCAGTTATTTGGGATTGGGGATTTAATTCATAGTCACACCTTACAAGTGGTTGTTGGATAGATATTACTTTAAGGTCCAATGGGAATTTTTCTTCCTCTCCCTGTAGTAAGTAGTTACACTAAAAATGATAAATTAGTCTCTTACTTGCAAATATTGAGAGGTTTTGCTTACTATGTATTTTGTGGGGTTAAATTCTGTCCCTACATATTAACAGAACAATTCAAAATAAAGATTGCAGTTCTAACAAATGACTGTGATGTGTGGACTGCACAGCCAGCAGTCTAAAATGATGGCTTACAACACAGTGGCCATGTGCATGTATTTCAAATGCTTTAAACATGTCTTTGTATACTTAAAATAGATTTGTTTTTTATTTGACTTAAAATCTCCCAAACATGTTTTGGATGAGGTTAAAATGTGCTGTGTCTCATACGGGATGTAAGAATAATATCTACAACTATTTTTATCCATTTCTCTTTACAATGGGATATTTAAAGTTGAGCTTTAGCATTTGGCAAGAATTCATTCTGTAATTCCATACCTGAAAGAAAGCTCCCTGCCACAGCCATTTTTCCTGCGAGCTTTTGTCTTTATCCAGTCTTAGGTGTTCAGATTTCTTGGGTCTCTTAATGCATCTTGTCTTTCAGAGACCAGTGTAGTCCCAAATCCACTTTAAGAGGTGTAGATTAACCCATTCATCAGGAAGAGCTTCAGCATTAGGCTTTTATTTACTGAAAGCTTTCAGGCAACTTTTCTTAGTTGTGTGCTCTTCTGTTGTCACAACAATGGGAAGATCAAGCTAAACAGTGCTTCAGACAAATATAGGTGTGGGTTTTTTTAAACAGTGTGTCATTGCTCTGAATGGATTAAACAACGTTCTGGAAAATAATGTGATTTTTGAATCCTCTGTCAAGACTGGCCTCCCTCCTCTTTCTTCTGCTACAGCTATGCTGGCTTTAGAAAACCAGGCTCTCCATTTCAGACAAGAACCTGGAAAGTTCAACCAAAGGTTCAGCTAGATTAAATCTGAAGCCTAGAGGTGACAGTTAAAAGGTTGATATTTGCAGTAATCTACTGCTAATGATTTTAGTAAACAGGTGTTACTGTGTTGTCTTTCAAACACAAACTACCTCTTCCTATGGCATCCTGAACCAAAACTCCTTAGCCTGGCTGCCAAAATCTCCAGCTTGCCCTGGGCAACTTCTATGCAATAGTTGCCAGTTTTTGAAGCCAACAGTGAATATGAGATCCAAAACTGGAATGAAGTATTGATTAATGGTCCTTGAGGGGTTCACTTGCAGTCTAAGTAATGATTGTAAGGCATTGTGTAAACTTCTGTTTGCTTTCATGTGCAATTAAGTAATGTCTTTTCACAACATTTCCAACCCATAATGTTCGAGTCAGAGATAAGTAGCACCCTGTAGACACTGCACTTGCTGAGGAACAATTGTAATAAGGGAGGGTAGAAGGAACACATTGGTTGTGTGCTCATCAGACGAGTTTGTCTTAAAATATGAATGTAATGATTAGGTAGAGCTTTACTCACCTGATAAAACTGCTAACTTTAAACTTGTTGGGAGCTTGAAACCCTCCATTTTATAGCAGGAACTCTGTCTGGACTTGACATCTGCTTGGGTTTGATAGGTCACGTTCTTGGTCTCTGCAGGCACTTGCACATTTTTTTCTGATGCTAACCAGGCTGATGTGTTGCCAGCATTAGTTACACAGGGAACTGCTGTCCATACAATGAATGGCTGTGGGCTGTGGGCTGCGGGTGCCATTGTGGTTTCGTTTGTGTATGTGTTAGGGGTTGGGGCAGTGTGATAGCATTAAGAGCTAACATTGATGGGAAGAAATAAAAAGGAAGGTAAAGGAGTGTGACTTGTTCTCATGCATACGACACTTCCTCTGAGATGTGTTTATGCTTTTTCTCATCAGGAAAATAGGGAACGAGAGATCCAGGAACTTCATAATCTGCAAAGGCGAAAGGAGCTGGAGGAGAAGCGTCGATCCTGGGCAGCTGGAGAGCTTGGGAGCTTTGGGCGGAGCAGCAGTGAAAATGATGTGGAGATGTTGGCCAAAAAAGGACTTGAAGAATTTCTTCCCTTCTTGCAGCAGAGATCGCAAAGCCCTTCGTACAGAAACCCCAATTCTAGACGCTCTCGACTTTCTTTGGGGATTACTGCAGACAGGGAGTTGCAGAGTTTCCTAGAAATCTCAAAAGATGAGGATCCAAACAAGTTTAACAGCCTTCCTCGTGCAAATACCCGACAAGCAAGACCAAATGTAGCCTGGACTGAATCCAAAGAAACAAGAGATCTCAACTTAAATACATTGCACTTAGACCAACAGTCTGAAATTGAAGTGAAAAGTGGTGGCCTACTCCAGGTTCCTCCAGCTCAGCCCAGTCACTTCAGCAGCTCAAGCGGTCCTGGTACCCGTTACTCACAAAGAAGCACCGACTACAGTGTGCACACTGCCAATGTGTCCTGCGAGGAGTCCACAGATATAAATGCTCTGGCCCTTGCAATTGAGGAGCGTGAGCTTGTTAAAGGATTACATAAATTTGATATTCAAGGATCGAAGCCTGCAGAGGAAACACCTTTAATCTATTTGGAGGATGCTGGTGGAACAGACCTGGAGACTCTAGATGATCTAAGCTTTCATTCCCTTAGCACTGCCGATGATGACCTGCCTCCAGCTTGCAGAAGTTCCAGAGAGGCCCGTGACCATAAAGCCAAAGCAGTGGGTTGCAAGAGTGAAGCTTCAGAGCCCAGCAGTAGCAGCCCCGTATCTATGGATACAAGCGTTTCAGGAAGCAGGGAAGATGGGCCGATGTTCTATGTGTCAGACACAACAACTGATTGTTCTTTGACACTGGACTCTGAAGAGGGAAATGACTTTAAATCTGCAGGCAATGAAATAAGAATTGGGGCTGGCAAAGCACGCTCTTCTGGGAATAATGCTCAATACAGGGCTAGAACATTCTTCTCAAACATGAATTCTGCTTCTGCCAAGGATCTTCACACTTCGGCAAATGATAAGGATGATGCCAATAGCAAGCATGCCCTTCCTAAAGAAAAGCCCATAAAAAACAGAGACTCAGCAGGACCAAAGAGAAACTCTCTGAAAGATAGATCTCCAAGCTCCTCGAAGTCCAGTGGCACTCGCTCTAGCCACACAGCTCCTTCCAGGCCTGTAAGAACTTTGAATGCCTCTGAGAATGAAAGTATGAGGAAAGTGGTGCCCATTTCTCGGTCAAACAGAGCACCGAGCAGTGTGAAAAAGCCAGAAGCCAAGCCAGCACCTCGTGAAACTAGCACAGTGGAAAGCCGGCTCTCGCACCGCAGCTCTGTCCGAGGCACAACAGACACACTGCCAAGAAGTCCTTACAGGCACAGCATGTCAGTAGAAGAGCCAAGGTTACAAAGAGGCACTTTCACCTCGAGCAGTGCCCATTTTGAGAGGGACAGAGTCTCTCTTAAGAAGCCAAGCTCTAAACCTGTTAGGAGTAATGTCAAAGCAAAGACAGATGAAATAAAGATGTGTCGCTCCAGTGTAAAACCCCAGACCCCTACAGATGACACCAAGGTTGCCACAGTCAGTGTTCCCAAAACACCATCTGCTGTCCCAAACTTTGCAAGGAATACAGTGGCTTCTTCTTCAAAGCGTGCGAAAGTGGATCTGTCCACCTCATCCAGACCTCCAACCATCACAAGGTCTGTGTCCCAGCGGCTGCCTAAAGCGAAGCCAGCAGTGACCTCTGATGATCCAAGTCCAAAGGAGAACAATGTGAGTACCTTAAAGAGAGCAAGTAGTGCCAGAGTGGTTGGAAGAAGCATCCTGCAGGGAGAAGCCGTCAGCACTAAAGTAGAGCCTGCACCGAAGGAGCAAGGAGCAGGGGAGAAGGCCTCTCTTAAACTGAAAGATGCAAACCGGACTGCGATTGGTAAAATATTGAAGCCATTACTGAAATAAGGGAGAGGGGTTTTTTGACTCGTGGAATGTGAACTCTTGTTCAAGCACTGGATGTCTGTATGGTGAAATTCCTTGAAAACAGTAACACTGTTGCTAAGCATCATCGTGTGCTCTTTGAAATTCAGCACACCGTTGGAAAAGGGCAAATAGTTGTGTTCTGGTCTAAATCCTTTTTTATGAATCTGAATGTATTTGAAGCTACTGTGATGGAACGCGAGCGTACCAGCAAATCTGTGCATATTTGTCATACAGAAGGTCACCAAAAGCCAAATTTTTTAAGAAGTTAAACTACAAGATGAAAAGCTTTGTGACAGGAAACATGGATAAAGGCCAGTTTTTGTGTACATAAGATTCTTCCTAAGACTCAAGCCTTTGTGAGGGTTGGTTCCTTATTCAATGTCAAAGTGAATCCTGTGGAACAGTACTGAAAATGAACTTAGGTGATTGTGTTTTCCTTTGCTTTTCGGTTCCTTGGATTTGGGAACTCTTTTTGCCTGTTGCGAAGTCCATTGCTGGCAATTGGACAGACTGAGGACTGCTGGCCAAAAAATAGTAAAACAAAACATTTGCTGTTTGTGGCTGTCCTTAACCTCACTGAAGAATTTATAGCATGTTGTATGAATGTATGTGTGTCTGGAGAAGGCTTTCTGCTGGACAGGAGGCTTATTCTCCAAGAATGTGGCAGCGTTGTCTTGCATGCCCAAGTAGATATGGCTAGTGCTGCATCGAGTAGCATGGCTGGAAGCTGTGCCTATTGCAGGGCCATCAGTAACCATTGGGATAATGACTACTCCTGACCTGTTTCGGTCACAAGCAAACTCGCCAGCTTTTGGTCATACAGAAGTGCCATATTTATGATACATATCAAGGATGTTTGCAGTTCAGCTCTGGAAGGCTGCGATGTAGTGCTGAGCACTTTCTTACCATTCCATGTTTCCACTGGTTTATCTACTACCAAATTACTTGAATGTTGCAATGGCTCTGATTGAGCCATGAGTTTCCCTGCCTCCTCGTCCTCCTCTCCCTGTCAACATGAATATTTAGCATGAAACACAGAGCTTATGCATGCCTATGTTTTTGTAGACTTCCTTTGTTGCTTCGAATGTGGTTTTTAATGTTTTAAAGACTCTAAGGGATGAATTAAGCTAGTATTTGATAAGCTTTTTACAAAATAAAAGCATCTCTTTTTTCCTGCAGATACAAATTTTAACTCCAGTCAGACTAAGGTACAGAGAATGAGGGAAAACTTGTTCAGCATGCCGTGCATCTTCCCAAGAGAAATATATGTAGGCGGGGAAACTGATTGCTGTTCTCCCAAGCATCCTACTTAAAGAGTTGCTTTTTCATTCACTTATGAATGAAGCCTCATTTAAGAATAAAATGGAAAATAAAAGGAAAATCTCTTTGGACAAGTGGCATTGACTTACTGTGGTCAATCTGTTTGTCTGCTCTATCCCTCAGTGCCAGGAGAGCATAACTCAGTGAGAATGAGCCATTTAATTGCTCACATGTTTCTCATGGACTAGTATCAGGCCCAACTAACTTTGTGATTTGAATCTGGTAAAGGGCCTTTAGCTTTTCCCACATACCAGCAAATTTGGATGCAGACATCATACCCAAACCCTGCTAAGTATTACACAGGGCCTCTTCTTTGAGACTGTCCCACAAGGAAAACTTACATAGCCCACTTTTCAGCAAGGGCAAACCTTTGCTTGAAACCCTGTAAGCTTTTTGGATACTGCCTCCGCTGTGGCTTAGATACAAAAGCATCTCCCTTATTTGTATCTGTGTGTATGTATGCACATCTGCAAGAGCAGATGATTGACTTTTTTCCCTTTTTTTTTTAACGAAAAAAAACAAAAAATTATTGGTAGCAAGCTTGAAAAATAATTTAAATGTGTTTGGAACATGTAAATAAATTTCTATAAATCTGTGTAAAAGAGAACTGAATGTATTTAATGGAGCATTTATACATTTCGGAGTAACTCAGTAGTTTAATAAAGTTCCCATTTACTGGGTATGAGGTTTGTATTTTCTCTTTCCTGTTATGCTCCTGGCTTTAGTCCTGGAGATGTCACACAACTGGAGTCGGGGTGTAGGTCACTGTGGTAAAGTCCCAAAAGGAAGGACTTTACAGCAGAAATCCTGGCGCTTCAAATGCTAGGTTTGAGGGTTGGTTTTATACTAAGACATGCAGTTTAACTTCAGTTTCTGAGCAGGACTTTCTGCACAGGTTTGGGTATAGCATGGAAGGCATTAGATTGGTAGATGCAGCACGCTGTGTACACGTTGTATGTTGTGGCCAAGACAAATGTTCATGGCACTAACAAGTCTGGATCTGTCGCTATCTTCATGCCTTTTAGCTGAGCACACTTGATTGAGAAATCTGGGTTTACAACTCCCAGGACTTTGGAAATAAAGAATAGCCTGTTTTGCAGGAGCAGGTGGTGACTTTTACACTGCAATTCTGAATTTCTCGTTTTCACCCAATTCTCCCATTAGTTTTCCTTCTTTACTGTGTACAAAAGAATATCTATTCAGCAGGAAAAAAGCGAAAGCCAGCCCAGCCTCCTTGTCCTCAGGGAGCACTTCCTCCCCTCTGCTATGAAAATGTTTTTTGGACTGGAATTGCTGCTATTTGCAAACTTGTTTAGCCCCTGACTTTTCTTGTTTGGTGAGTGTGTCTCCCCGTGCGGAGTGGCAAGCACCTGCTGTCTGCCAGTGCTGAGTGATGGCTGCTGGTGGAATCTATGTGGGAAAGCCCTTCACCATCAAAAGGTGTGTCTCAGGAGTTTATGTTCTTTTAAACTTCATTTTTATTTCAAAAGGGTTTATAATTACCAATTCATTATTTAAACTACCAGCTGTCAGAGGCAGCGATGCCCTCTAGGTTTAATTTCCCATGTCATGCAAGTTTCTCAAACACTAAGAGGCCACAGGGCTAGCGCAGTTGCAGCCAGTTTTCAGGAAGCAGCAGAGACCTTTTCTCCAGCTTTGTTCTCCCAAGGGCCGATGCTTCTAACTGTCACTGGGGGCAGATGGGGCGCATCTCTCTCCTTTGGTGGCTGTTGAGGTGGCAGTGAAGTAGGGGGGTCCAGGGGACCACGAGGGGATCTGGAGCTGTGGAGACTGGAGATTGAGAGATAGGCGAAAGATCTGTGGGAGTAAGAGGTGCTGATTCATACTTAGAGGAATTTAATATTCACATCTCATGTGGGAACTGCATACAAATGAGGGGCTCAATGTATCCCTCATTACAACAGCTCATTAAATTATCAAGAAAGAGTTCTCATCACACCTCCTACAGTGTACAAGTCTGGACTATGTCATTCAAAATAATCCATCTGTATCTTTCTAATCTTAGGGTATGTCTGCGTGGACGGATGCAGACAGCCACACGTTGGCTCCGACCTAACCAGACCTGAGCCAGCTCCATGCTGGAGCTATGCAGTGCATTAGCTGGGTGCTGACCCTGAGCTCATATACTGTGACTGTAATTGCACACCTTCAGCCAGGCTCGCTGCCTCCAGCTCAGCACACACCAACCCCAAGGAAGACCTGCCCTCCAAAAGCCACCGCTGCTGCTGCTACACATGAGAATGTAATCCCTGCAAGAGAAGCCCAGCCAAACATGGCTCCTTTCAGATTTGGCTGCTCAGCCTTTTCCATTAACCTGATCCATGCTGTTTACATCCTACTGCCACCAGTGCCAGAGATAACTGCCTTGGGAACAGCTCCCTACAGGTATTGTTAACAGCTGCTGAAAACAAAGGAGTTTGTTTTAGCCACATCACTGTCCAAATAGCCAGAAATACGTTACTTTTTCATTACTCGTAAGCCAGTATTAAAAAACCTGTCATGTTCTCCTGGCTGAAAGATGCATTTTGGACACCTTGTATGCTGTTAAAAACTGGTGTCTGCACAAATATCCTTGCAACTGTAGAAGAAAGTGGCACTGAGGCAATGAACGTGTGAAGGGTCTTGTTGAAGGAGAGCATGTTTATCTTCCCAACGTGTGGTCACCACCACCAGTGTCAACTACCTGCACTTGGAGAAAACTGTTTCCAGCCAGTGGTTGTTCCTTGCTGTGGGGTTGGTTTCTGTGTGTTTTCAGGCTGAAGGCTGACAGTGCAGTCACAGTTTGCAGCTTGCTCTGATTAACAGAAAAAAAGGGAAAGAAAAATCCTCATTAGCCTCCAGCTGCTGATGTCCTTTCTACTGGCACTGGCCCATTAGAGCACACCAAGGGGACCTGAGCACATTGGTTTTAGTGGTGGTGTTCAGGGTGAGGTTTGTGGTGGCCAAGCAGATGCTCAGCAAGGGTGGCTTTGTCTGCACAGAGGGGAGAGGGTTACATGCGTTTCTGAGACTGTTGACCCCATCTGAAGCAGAGGCTGGGGACAGGCTCCCTTTGAACAGGGATGTGTCTCTTTGCTTTTGATCAGGTCTGAACAATAGCTCCTTTTTATCCTATTCCATCCTTATTTATTGGGAAGAGGAGAAAAAAAGAAAGGCAGAACACTTTGATGCCGCCTCTTGGGTCAAGTGAAGGAAATACATGAACTCTACTACTTCTTTTCTTTTTAAACAATAGGATTTTGACTGATAAATAGAGGTGGTAGCTTCAAATATCCCTCTGCTGCCCAGAGGCACCACATATTTTCAGTGGTTGCAGTGATCCAGAAGAAAAAACATGCATAAGAGCAAAAGCTCTGTTTAGTTCCAGAGCACATCCAAATGACTCTTTCCTCTATTTTGAAATATAAATCCTATCAACTGAGCACAGGCAATGTTCATTCAGGCACCCAAAAGGGGCTGGCTAGAAGGTATTGATACTACTTCTGGATTACTGTTTACAATGAATTTTAATTCCCATTACTCATCCCGTTTCATTGTCATTAGGAGTAAAAGCTGCCTTCAACATAGAGCAGTAAAGCAGGGCTGATGGGTGTAAACACACTCCACAGCTAGGTTGCTTCTCCTGGGGCTTAGCCCCCAGGGCCCTGTCCTGTAGCCTTAGGGAAACAAATGAACTGCCTATGTGCATGTTTGATAGTTTCTTCCACAGAGTAAGGTTTTCCATGTTCCTGGTGGGCTAGCACACCTTCTGGGAAGGAATTGAGCACAGTAAAATGAATACAGGCACGACAGGTGTTACGAATTACTGAAGCCTGGTAGCTGATGCGCCTATGGAAATTAGGAATGTGTGCTTACAGGGAAATGTGATGGTGAAAAATGGGTAGGCACAACTGGAGACAAGTTTTCAAAAGCCATATGGGTACTTTTCTCTCTGACATTAGCGTCATCATGCTTCCCTGAGTGTCTGCTGTTTCTGGTAAACCCAGGTTTAAACCTTATTCTCCAGGAGAAATCAGGATTCCTCCGAATCACTGCAAGAAAGTATTTGACTGAGAACTGCTGGAATCGCTTCAGCTCTGGGGCTAAGAACAGGACACGCTGCTAGCTTTGTGTTTTGGTTTCTGGTGTTTCTCACGCAGCATTTTAAACTGATTCAGACGTATTCCCTATGCAAATCTTTAATCTCCTTTCTTAGGATGAAAAATGGGTGTAAATGTGGTTTTGATTTTCCCCACCCTTTTACAGCTGTATCGGCCCCTATTGCTTCCTCCCACTCCTATTTCCTCTATTATAATTTTCCATCATCCCCTTAAATATTACAACCTCCACTAATAACTCATCCTTCTCCTTTATCTCCTTTTCACGTGGCAGGTTTTCTGCACTCTTCCATCCACTTCATCCCCCTTTCTGTGCATTTCTTGACTCCAGTGGCCCTTTTGCTACATCCCTTGCTTTCTTCTTTCTGCCAATGCGAGTCTTTCCCCAAAAGCCTGTCTGCAAAATCTGCAAGCTGAGCCTTTTTGCTGCCAGCTTCCAGTGAGATGTGGGAAGAGAGCAACAAAATGGACTCAGTTTTTAAGGTTTACGTGTCTGTACTTCGTAGCTTTGCCTTGTCACAGTGAGCGAGTAGCTGGGGGAGGCTATCGCTGAGCAGAAGTGCATCTTTGCATCTTTTCCCCGTGAACGTCTCTCACCCCCTACGCCAAGCAGCCTTTGCAGGGGCAGGGGGAAGAGCTGGAGAGCTGAGTGCATGGGGTGATTTTGCAGAGGTGGGTGAGGAAAGTCTGTTCAAATAAAGGTGTGAGTAATTTAGCTTTGCGGTGTCTAAAAAGCCCTAATGAAAGACTGTCGACGACAGCTTAAACAGCCGTTTGGCGAAGTGATTCCTGACCCCACCCGTCATCATGGTACCACAAGCAAATAGATTTGTGCAGTCAGTGCAGTGCCGATTCCTGTGCATCAGAGCAAAATAATTGTGTTATTGTTTCTTAACTTAGCACGTAGCTTTTCATGGTAGGGGTTAAGGCTTCAGTAGATTTTGGTTTCCTCTTACAGTGTAAGGACCAAGACCTTTTTACAACAAGAGATAGCACTTGGAAGCCCGAAGTTGGTTCTTGGAGAATATGTACTCAGTTTTCTTTCTGCTGGAAGTGATTGGCCACTGCATAAACTGGAGAGTGCTTAGAATGTGTGCATAGTGGATTAGTATAGGGTATGCACTGTTCACGTGTTCTTTCTAACAAGAACTGAATCCTCTTTAAGACAGTCTTTTCTCCCAGGAGGTTATAGCCTAAGCCACTGACTAGTTGAGCTGAGAAGGAGGTCACCCAGCCCAGCCTCCTGCTCCAAGAAAGGCTAACTTCACACCTAGGTTGCTTTGCTGAGGTCTGTAGGGTGTTGTTCTTAGCGCAAAGTGGTTATGAGAGGGAGATGTGATTTTGCTCCTGAAATAAGGGTGCTGAAAATGGAAAACCACTAAGGAAATGCTGGTCCTCTGTAGGCTATGGATCGAAAAATGTTCAAGACTTAGTCCAAGGAATATATTGCAATTTTCAATGCTGGTCTGCCTTAGGTGGCTGATGGCAACGTAAAGTCAGTAAAGCAAGTAAAGGCAGGAGTCAGGAAAGAAATTTGAGAGAAACCTCAAAAGCAGGAGGGA